ACCATCAAGACTTGGTGCAGTGGGAGGATTTAAGGGATTTAATAATGTTAATTATCTCTAGGTCAGTACATGGGGCATTAAGTCTATCAATTTGTTGTTTAGAGAGTGCGATGAGTGGAATTTTGTCTAACCATGGCTGAGAAGATAAACTAGGAGACAATTGAGGACTAGAAAGTACGATTTTATAAAAATCTAAAAAAGATACTCAATACCTCTTGAGGGTGGGAGACTAAATTGACCGATGCATTTCTAAGTTTATACACATGGGGAGGATTAGTTAAACGATTACATTTTCTGGCAAACATGGTGGATGTGGAATTGCTATGTAAAAGAAATTTTGCTTTGGACCATCTTGATTTTTCCTTAATCTCTGGATCATATGGTGTCTGAAAAACTTATTTTGAATTGATTAAAAAGGTCTGGAGAGGGAGTTTGACTATGTCTATTGTACAGACAGTCTAATTCCCTAGTAAGAGTTCTAATATCCCACTTTAAATCTGTTTTTAGCCAAACACTAATCAAATGTCCTCTCGTTACAGCTTTATGTGCAATCCAAAGGGAAGTGGGAGATAATTTGAATTGGTATTTTGAGTAAAGCAATCTCTTTGAGGAAAGTTGTATAATTCCCAGGGTCTGATAATAGTGATATTAATGCACCACCTGTATGGAGTAGGAGCTAGGCCTACATGGGAAGTGGTGAAGGAAATTATATGATATTCGACCATGGGCATATGTGTATGTTCTGTGGAGGAAAATAATATAGGAGTACTAAAAATGTAGTCCACTAAGGGCATAGCTATCATGTGGATGGGAATAGAATGTGTAAGCTTTTACTGTTATGTGGTAGAAATGGGGTTTATTTACTAAAGCTCTTCCGGCATCAATCACCTTTAAACGACATCTCAGACTGGATGTCGTCCATTTCCTCAAGCTTAACCTCTCCAAAGACCAAACTCCTCGTCTTTCCCCCTGCCCCACCCCCCCCACTAGACCACCACCAACACTATCATTGCCCCGCAAGCCAAAGTCCTTGTGTCATTCTTGACTCGAACCTCTCCTTCCTTCATGTCAAATCAATTGAAACACCTGCAGGCTCCATCTCCGCAATATTGTGGAGCTTACGTGCCTTCCTCAAACATCACCAAACTTCTTGTACACTCCCTCATATCTCACGCCTTGACTACTGCAACTTCTTCTTTGCCTACCCAAGGCTCTCCCCGCTCCAGACCATCCTGAACTCAGCGGCCAGACTCATCCACCTTCCACATCTGCCTCCCCCCTTGCCCTCCCTATGGCTCCCGATTGCCCAACGCATCAAATTTAAACTTCTAATCCTGACCTACAAAGCCGTTCATAACACTGCCCCTTTCTACCTGAAATGATCCCCAAGTACCAAACCCTTCGCTCCTCACAGGTCCTTCTATCCTGCTCCCTGGTTGTTCATGACTGCAAGAACAGGTCCTCCCGTACCTTGAATCACTGCCCCAAAACTGTTGCCTTCCCTGGAGAGCGGGGAAAACATCTCTTCAGGGAAGCCTACCCCACCCTGACCTAACGGCCATCCTCCCTCAAATGATCCTCCCACCACTTCATCCCCCTCAGCCACTTCCTATTGTTCCACTACCCCCTCCCTCCTAGATTGTAAGCTTGAAAGAGTAGGGCCCTCTTACCCCTCGTACGCTGTCTGTTTTTGTACTGTGCCATGTATTGTCCCCCCCTATTGTACAGCACTGAGCAAACCCTTTGGCGCTATATAAACTCGATGTAATAAATAAATAAATAAATAAAGCTGGAGAGTCCAAAATCAGACTCCCTTCTGCATAGAAACCAATCAGCTTCTAACCTCAGCTTGTTCAATGAAGCTTTGGCAATGAAACCTGGAAGCTGATTGGTTTCTATGCAGAAGTGAGTCTGATTTTGCACTCTCCAGCTTTAGTAAATAAACCCCTATGTGTCTATCAATTGAAAATTATTCAATGAACGAGATAGAGATTTAGAAAATGCCTTAGTGGAGGGTAAAACTCTGCTTCTGTCTAATATAGAATGGGCAGTCAAATTAAAATCTCCGCCTATAATAAGATGTAGAGAATGATAGTGATCCAGGATTTCGAAGAAGTTTTTAAAGAAAGTGGCTTGAGATTCATTAGGGGCATAGACCGAGGCCACTGTAACAAGCCAACCTCTGAGTGAACCCTTCAGAATCAAAAAGTGGTTCTCAGGATCTTTTATATATATATATATATATATATATATATATATATATATATATATATATTATGGGTTTCAAAAGTAGTGAATTGTGAATAAAAAAAGCCACTCCACGAGATTTAGATAAATATGAGGTATAATGAAACCGACTGTAAGATTTATTAAAGAATAATGGGTGATTAGATGATGAAAAATGAGTTTCTTGTAATAAAATTATATCTGCACCCAATCTTTTATAATGACGGAAAGCCTTTTTACATTTTTGTGGGAGCTTAAATCCTTGCACATTATGAGATAACACCTTAAATCCCATTGTAACTTACTGGATGTAAGCTAGGTCTTACAAGTGTGGAATTGGGTATTGGGAACTGCAGGCATCATCCCGATATAACTACTTGAAGTCCAGCGACCTGTGGGTATGTGTCGCTGGTCCACAAGTGCATATAGTAGCTTACCAATCATTAGATGTGGTAGCTGAATTCGTTTTTTTTTCTAGACCATTTTCCCTCTTTTTTTACCTGGTGATCTGGCCAGTAACACACCTCCTGTATTAAAATAAGGATATAATACTCATGTGCTGCCACAAATAAATGATAAGCTGCTGCAAGCACCTAAATGTGTTCCCACATCAATAAAATTCCCCAAGAATAGTGCTGCACTGACCCCTAGTGACCCAAAAAATAAACTATTAATAAATAAACACCCTCCTGAGCACCAAATGTGTAATTGAATAAATCTGTAAAACAAATAAAGTCAATAGTAAATAACAAAACTTGCTGAGCCACTAAATCCAAATGATATGTGAAACATATATAAAAAATAAACCATAATCAAGTAGCAATAAACACCTGGCCAACCTATAATAAACACCCAGCTAAGCTGAAGAATAAAGTGTAAAAAACAATAAGAAAACAGAAAAATATGTGAAATGTATATCAGAAATAAAACATGATCACAATAGCAGTAAACACCTGGCCAAGCTATAATAAACACCAAGCAGAGCTGAAGCATAAAGTGTGAAAAACAATAAAAACAGTAATAAATGATTGTAAAACAAATGCCCAGCTGAGCAATCAGCCCCCAATGGAATAAATATGTGATGAATCAAGTAAATGTTTAACTGGGCTGGATATTCACAAAAAGTGCGTAATAAAAAAAAGCAGCTCTGAATATATAATAAAACGGATAAATGGTGATTGATAGATAACACTTAATGAAGTGCAAAATGCAGTCCAAAAGTGATATAACAGTCTCTTTCTTCCAATATGTAACGTAATGAACCAGTGACTTCATCAGGTGTGCAAATCTATCGTGCTCCTCCACCTTCAGGCATGCACCCTCACCTTAACAGCTGACCCATAGAACATATAGGTCAACATGCGCTCAATATGAATCCCACTGGATCCTCTACTTCCACAGGTCTCTCCAGGCACACTCAGGAACAATCCTTTATGTCCCCACTCTGATGCATAGGTGCTCAAAAGAAAAAGGTACAAGGAACTCCTCATAGTGTAGTAAGGTTTTATTACCATAAAAATGTTTAAAAAAAATACCACTCACATAGATAAAAGGTTCACAGAACTCATTACAAGCATTTAAGGGAAAAGCAGGGTGAACAGAGATGGCGGCTCCCGCACGCACTAGCAAAGACATCGCAAGCTTCAGTTCTATGCGTTATGCCACGAGTCACGTGGCTTCTTCAGGGATAGCCTTCAGGGATAGCTTCAGGGACACCTCCTGTATTAGAAGGCCTCCACTCTAGATGAAGGAGCACAGGGGGCACATTTAGACAGAATTGCCAGTCTGGGGGGAGGGGAGTGTTAGACATACTAGCAGATTTAAATGCAATAAAAAACTGAACCAAACTCTAGCTAATACTTTATAAGCAGCCACAGCAGACAGTTTTGTTTTTTCATTTTTGAGATAAAGGTTTTACGTAATTAAATAAATAAAATCTGATCACTGTAATACACCCCCTCTCTTTATCTACACATTATGGGGTGGTATTCAGTAAGTCATAGAGGAGAACTGGGCAGGACTGATAACACTGTTTGAAATAACACTGAAGAGTGCATAGAAACTTGTGATCTCACTGTCATGATCTATAGGTATTTTATGCCTATATCAAACAGGTATAACAAAATGCTTTAAACGCTACATGTAATATACCAAACAAGAGCACATATAAGGTGTTTATTATTAGAGTTTACATATACTTCAGTCCATCATATTTGTACAGTATTCTAATTATGTGCAACTGTTTCCTGCTTCATGCTACTTTATACCATAGGGAGCTATTTGTTCCATCTTTGGAATGATCAATTACCCTTATAACATAATTGCTGTAATATTCTAAATGAGCACACCAGTTTAATACATGGGTTAGTACAAGTTACGGGAGAATACACAATCCAGGTGGATTCAAAGAAGGGTGTGCAAAAATAGGCTTGTCAGGGTTGAAGAAACAAAGTGCAATTGTCAAATCTGATGAGCCCACGGAACTGGTAAATGTAATGGTTACCGCTGAAAAACAAATGAAGTGCTGATCTGTCTAGAGTCCAAGGATGAAAAAATATTATTTTTTATTTACAGGCTGCCTATCTGTTTCAAACTGAAGATGGTGACGTGTATAGAAAAAAAAACAGATACAAAAAAAACATTACTGCTTTCTTATAGGAAAGATAATAAGTTCAGCTTAAGTAAAACAATTAGAGATGAGCGAAGTATTCAAAAATTCGATTCGGCTGATTCGGCGAATTCGAGGAATAAATTTGATTCGAGGCGAATATATTCTTGGAGCCTGCTGGGGAAGAGAAAATAATACTGTCAGTCAGTATGACATGCAGATGAGTGCCGTCGATCTTAGAATCACCGCACACTTCACTCATTTGGGCATTCACGGGGCCAAAACCAGAGTGTGGAGCCACAGTGTGGCGGTGGAGGCAGCAGCAATGGGAGGCCATACAGCACCCTATGACAAAAAATGGAACCCACCAGCAGTGTGAGGAGACCTGAAAGTGGCACATGGCAGAGTGTGGCGATGGAGACAGCAGCAATGGGAGGCCGTACAGGGACCCATGACACACTCTGGACCTGGCAGCAGCATGAGGAGGCGGTACAGGGGCCCATGACAGATTACGGGCCTGGCAGCAGCATGAGGAGTCGGTACAGGGCCCATGGCAGATTACGGGCCTGGCAGCAGCAATGGGAGGCCATACAGCACCCTATGACAAAATGGAACCCACCAGCAGTGTGAGGAGACCTGAAAGTGGCACATGGCAGAGTGTGGCGATGGAGACAGCAGCAATGGGAGGCCGTACAGGGACCCATGAGACACTCTGGACCTGGCAGCAGCATGAGGAGGCGGTACGGGGGCCCATGGCAGATTACGGGCCTGGCAGCAGCAATGGGAGGCCCGTAATCTGCCAGCACCCTATGACAAAATGGAACCCACCAGCAGTGTGAGGAGACCTGAAAGTGGCACATGGCAGAGTGTGGCGATGGAGACAGCAGCAATGGGAGGCCGTACAGGGACCCATGAGACACTCTGGATTTGGCAGCAGCTTAAGGAGGCGGTAACGGGGGCCCATGGCAGATTACGGGCCTGGCAGCAGCAATGGGAGGCCCGTAATCTGCCAGCACCCTATGACAAAATGGAACCCACCAACAGTGTGAGGAGACCTGAAAGTGGCACATGGCAGAGTGTGGCGATGGAGACAGCAGCAATGGGAGGCCGTACAGGGACCCATGAGACACTCTGGACCTGGCAGCAGCATGAGGAGGCGGTACAGGGGCCCATGGCAGATTACGGGCCTGGCAGCAGCAATGGGAGGCCCGTAATCTGCCAGCACCCTATGACAAAATAGAACCCACCAGCAGTGTGAGGAGACCTGAAAGTGGCACATGTTTGGGGCATGATTCATGGCGGATTTAGTCAGTTGTGTCAGGAACTGGTGGTTTGAAATCCAACTAATCCCGCCTGATTCATTTCACAAACGTGAGTCTCCTCCCACACTTTGGGTGGACAGTCGTGTCCTCCGCGGAGTTACAATACCTCCTGCCGCACTAAACACGCGCTCCGATGCCACGCTACTGGCCGGGCATGACAGCCTTTCAAGGGCAAATTCAGCTAGTTGGGGCCAAAGGTCAAGTTTCGTTGCCCAGTAGTCAAGGGGATTGTCTACCTCGGTTGGCAGGGTGCTGTCCAAGTAGGCCCAAGCCTGTTGTGTTTGAGGTCCTGCTCCAGGTCCACCTGATGCTGCTGCTGCTGGCGGCTGGTTAGTAGTTTCCTCACTGCGCTGGTGAAGAAAGCTACTCATCATCGACTGCAGACTGAGGCAGCCGCTGCTGGTAGAGCTGCCACTGCTCCTACCACCCCACCCCTCCCCTGCTGCCATGGCAGCGGAACGCGAGTGCACAGGGCCCACAGTGTCTGAGGATGGACGTTGGCGCAGAAAGGCAGAGACCAACTGACTACATAGGTGGTTTTTTATAGTACGTTATTTTGGCCTCCCTCTCAGCAGGTGTGAAAAAGGCCACCATTTTTGAACGGTAGCGAGGGTCCAACAAGGTGGACAGCCAAAAGTCATCCCTCTGTCTGATGGTTATTTATTCGGCTGTCGCTACGCAAGCAACCGAGCATGCTATGGGCCATTTGTGCCAAGGAATGCGAGGGACTTCCCTGCCTCCATCTCCACAGCATACTGCCACGGTGCGTCTGGGTCCTCTGTCTCCTCCTCCTCCTCTACCAGATGCTCCTGCTCCTCCACTCCTGTCCGCTGAGTGGAAAAACCACCCATTTCACTCAATAATTCCTGAGCACCAATGTCCTCCTCTACCTCCTCCTCTTCTTCCTGTCCTGCCCCCACAGGGGTCATGTGGCGTTGAGATCTGTGCGCCACGTCTACCGCACCCTGACCAGCCATTGTTAACAGCATTTGTTCCAGGACGTGCAACAGAGGAATGACGTCGTTCATCCCATAGTCCTGCCGACTCACGAATAGCGTGGCCTCCTCAAAGGGCCTGAGCAAGCGGCAGGTGTCACGCATGAGCTGCCAATGGCTGACATCGAAGTTACACAGGGGAGTACCTTTATCCGCTTGTAACATCAGGAAATCGGTGATGGCCTTTCGCTGTTCGTAAAGGCGGTCTAACATGTGTAGGGTTGAATTCCACCTTGTTGCAACGTCGCAGATCAGGCGATGCTGTGGAATTCTGTTTCTGCCGCTGCAGCTCAAGGAGGGTGTGCTTTGCGGTGTAGGAATGGCTGAAATGCATGCAAAGTTTACGTGACATTTTAAGGATGTCTTGCAGTGGGATGGTGGATTTTAGGAACCGCTTGACAACCAGATTGAACACGTGAGCCATGCATGGCGCATGGCACAACCTTCCTTGACGCAGAGCAGACACCATGTTCTTTCCGTTGTCGGTCAACATGGTTCCGATTTTGAGTTTGCGCGGAGACAGCCATCTGTCGATTTCTCTGTTCATTACAACTCAGAAGTTCCTCCCCTGTTGTGACTACGTTCGCAAAGGCATACCAGGTGCAGCACAGCGTGACACCGAGTGCGCCCTGCACATGTGATATGCATACCCATGGGAGGGTAATGGGATACTTGGCACGGGGGTGGCGGCTGAGGACACGGCGGAAGAAGAGGTGGTAGAGGCGGACATCTTTTGCCGGACCAAGGACGTGCAAACGTGGAGGCAAAAGCGGCGTGACCTGTCCAAGTTGCTGGTGCGGCTGTGACTTGGCACCACGTTCACCCAGTGGGCCGTAAATGACATGTACTGTCCCTGACCGTAGTTACAGCTCCACACGTCGGCGCTGCCGTGCACTTTGGCAGAGACCGACATGCTCAAAGACTGGCCCACCATCTCTTCTACATGTGAATGCAGGGCTGGCACTGCCTTTTTGGCGAAGAAATGCCGGCTTGGCACTCTCCACCGCGGCGCGGCACAAGCCATCATTTCTCGGAAAGGTGCTGAGTCCACCACTTGGAAAGGGAGGGACTGCAGCACCAGCAACTTGGACAGGAGGACGTTCAGCTTCTGCACCGTCGGGTGCGTGCTCGCAAACTGTTGTCTCTTGGAAACGGATTCCAAGAAAGACTGCTGACGGAATCCGTGAAGAGGAGTAGCAGGAGAAGGAGCATCTGAACGAGCGGAAGATGCCAACGAGCGACAACTCCCCTCAGCAGAGGTGTTTGGAGCCTTGACTGGCTGATAGAGGGCGATTGACGTCGGGTGACGGAGCAAGTAACGGAGTGGGTGATGGAGCGGGGGCTGGGGCAGGCAGAACCGCCGTATCTTTATCACGGTTTTCCCAGGCCACCAAATGGCGACGCTGCATATGCTGCCGCAACGCTGTAGTCCCAACATGGGCCCCCTGGCCGCTTGACTTTCTGGCCACATAGTCGACATACGGCTACGTTTACTTCCTCGGCGCGGCTTGACGAAAAATTGCCACACCGCCGAGTAAAAACTTTGCCCCCGCTACTCCTCACTGGCTGACTGCTACTTCCTCCGTGCACACCGGCACCACTACTGGCCGTGGTGGTAGGCTGCAGTGGAGCTGGTGCTCTACTCCGTGGCCGTTTGGCTCCACTGACACTGCTGCGACCCTGCTGCCTCCTGGGCAACCCACCGACTGTTTTGCTCGCTGCCAAGCTGGCACCCTCTTCTCCTGATGATGCGGAAGCAATAGCCTGATGACGACGAGGCTGCCAAGTGCAATCAGCCTCATCATCATCAATTAGGGTCTCCGCCTCACTACTAGCCCCCTCGGCTGCGTGTGGGTCAGGAGACAGACCTGTCTCTAGTCCGGCTACCGAGCCACTCTCCTCGCCACTATTTCTTCGCCTGGCTGCTGAAGAGACGGATGTCTCCCCCCGTTCCTGACCGCCCTCTGTTAGCTCTTCCTCACTGTACAGTGGGGCTGAGCCCACAGCATGCGATACTTCGCTTGGTGAGGGAACACCAAAGGACAGGGGCAGGTAGAGGACACGTGATTTCAGTGGGCTTGCTCCCGGGCCATGCCAACTAACGGTTGTGTCTGACGTACCCACCGACCGTTGGCTGTAGGTGTCAGAGGTGACCTGGGAAGAGGAAGACGACCGAGCCAACCAATCGATGACGGCAGGGTTGTCGGTGGAGACACGACCGCTGGATGACACCGGGAGCACTGGCCTCTGGCTGCGACTAGTGCTGCCTCGACCCCTACCTCTGCTGCCACGTCTGCTCGCTCCTAAAACATTGCCTCCTCTGCCACTCCTCTGCATGTTGTCTGACATACTCTTTAATTCAACAATTCTGTGTCCCTGAGTAACAATTCTGTGTACCTCAGTAACAATTCTGTGTCTATCCCTGAGTAACAATTCTGTGTCCCTGAGTAACAATTCTGTGTCCCTGAGTAACAATTCTGTGTCCCTCAGTAACAATTCTGTGTCCCTGAGTAACAATTCTGTGTCCCTGAGTAACAATTCTGTGTCCCTCAGTAACAATTCTGTGTCCCTCAGTAACAGTTCTGTGTCCCTCAGTAACAATTCTGTGTCTGTCCCTGAGTAACAATTCTGTGTCCCTGAGTAACAATTCTGTGTCCCCCGAGTAACAATTCTGTGTCCCTGAGTAACAATTCTGTGTCCCTGAGTAACAATTCTGTGTCCCTCAGTAACAATTCTGTGTCTGTCCCTGAGTAACAATTCTGTGTCCCTCAGTAACAATTCTGTTTTCCCTCAGTAACAATTCTGTGTCCCTCAGTAACAATTCTGTGTCTGTCCCTGAGTAACAATTCTGTGTCCCTGAGTAACAATTCTGTGTCCCTCAGTAACAATTCTGTGTCCCTCAGTAACAATTCTGTGTCTGTCCCTGAGTAACAATTCTGTGTCCCTGAGTAACAATTCTATGTCCCTCAGTAACAATTCCGTGTCCCTGAGTAACAATTCTGTGTCCCTCAGTAACAATTCTGTGTCCCTCAGTAACAATTCTGTGTCTGTCCCTGAGTAACAATTCTGTGTCCCTCAGTAACAATTCTGTGTCCCTCAGTAACAATTCTGTGTCTGTCCCTGAGTAACAATTCTGTGTCCCTGAGTAACAATTCTGTGTCCCTGAGTAACAATTCTGTGTCCCTGAGTAACAATTCTGTGTCCCTCAGTAACAATTCTGTGTCCCTCAGTAACAATTCTGTGTCTTTCCCTGAGTAACAATTCTGTGTCCCTCAGTAACAATTCTGTGTCCCTGTCAGGAATGGACTCAGCACTGGTGGTGGGACTCGCCTGCCGTGTGGGCTGCAGTACCAGAGCTGACCAGCGGGTGCCTCAGCACTGGTGGTGGAACTCACCTGCCGTGTGGGCTGCAGTACCAGAGCTGACCAGCGGGTGCTCTTAGCAGCCAGAAGCTCACAATCAGCCAAACCTGGGGCTGATTACAGAAAGGTGTATATAAGGCATGACCAGGTCTGTGCTCTGGGCCTTGGTGTATGTTTTCCCATGAGCCTCTGTACCTGTATCCTGTGTTCCTGCTTCGTTGCTGACCCGGCTTGATCCTGATCTCTGTTGACCGTCTCCTGTTCTGACTACTGGCTCATCCCTGACTATTCTTCTGCCTACTCCTATGCTGTTTGACCTCCTGTTGCTGTACCTTGGCTTGTGACCCGTTTGCTCTTTGCCTGCTGCTCTGTACTGATCTGCCTCCACCGTTACCGACCCGGCTTGTCTGACCACGCTAACTACTCTGCCATCCATCCATCCTGCACGGATCCAGCCGTACCTGCACATACCTCTGGCGGATCCCCCTACCAC